CCTCCTACCTTCCAGCAGATCAACACTTTGCCCCCAACTTTGTGTCATCTGAAAACTTGTTGATGGTGCACTCAATCCCCTCACCCAAGTCTTCATTGTAGTTTTGTGATTCTAACAATCATAAGTAAAGAAAGAGTGGGAGCAGTTACTTGCATCTACTCTGCCTGAAGAAGCTTAAAATCACAGTGTACCGGGATCCAAAAGCAGCAGCAGTGGAAGTCCAGCAAGTGAACCTCACCTTTAGCAGTATTTCCTTGTAGGAGGATCAAATGGATGATCACTACATTTACCTTGGCAGGAACACTGCAAGTTTGTCTTCTTCAGCCTATACATGTTAAGCACAAATAATACACCACTGTTTAATTATAGGGATTTAGAGGACATGTTTTAACCATCTAAATCATGCCTAGAAAAAGTGGTTCATGTACCTGTTTCAGAAAATGTGTTTTCATTTCTTATCTATTAGCCTTGCATAGCAATAAGATCATGGAGCCTCTTATAAGAAACAGTAGGTCTGCATCATGAAAACTCTGGAAAAGCCATATCAGTGACAGTATCAGATGATACTCTCATGTGAAGTGTGGTCTCTCTGAAGTGTATGATGCCTGTCATTTAGCAAAACAATTACTATTCCTTCAAAGGTTTAGGGTAAAAAGACTATTCTATTTTAAATTGAAACAGACATTGATAATGAAAGAGCAAGAGAGAAATGTAAGCAACAACTTATTTTCTTGGTATCCTAGAACATGTTTTGTTTCAATTCTTTTTCCCAGGCTTACCAGCATAAGCTAAAGCTAGCCCTTATAGGTCAAAGTATTTTTGGCCAAGAAGTTTATAACAAGCTGAGAAAAGAGGGACATAAAGTTGTGGGCGTATTCACAGTGCCTGACAAGAATGGACAAGCTGATCCTTTGGGTAAGTGTAACCTTAATCCAAGCGTTAAAATTACAAGCATACCATAACAAACTTGTCTTTTCATGAGAAGGTGATACCTCTTTCGGAATGACTTGCATATATTGCCTTTTTTATCCTGAACTCTGCACAAGAACTATGCTCTAACAAATGCAAGTCCCAGAACTGGTTTAACCTTGGCCTGAAGTTGTGTCGGGGAGGTTTAAGTTGGATATTAGAAAAAGGTTCTTCACCCAAAGGTATTTGGGCACTGAACAGCTCCCCAGGGCAGTGGTCACATCCTCAAGCCTGACAGAGCTCAAGGAGTGTTTGGACAATGCTCTCAGGCACAGGGTGTGATTCTTGGAGATGTTCTGTGCAGGGCCAGGAGTTGGACTAGATGATCCTCAAGGGTCCCTTCCAACTCTGAATATTCTGTGATTATGTGGTCATATTCACACAAAATTGCTGAAGTGGAAAATTAACTTCTGCTAAACCAAACCAGTTGCAGGCAAATGTCATGACTGGACAAAAAATGAAGTGCCATGGTTAAGTCATCAATAACATTCATCATTCTTTTCTGCTTCCATTGGTACTTACTAGCCAAGTCATGATTGACATTAAGTTGAGAATGACACAAGCTGCAGGAATGAGAAACAAAGACAGAATAAAAAAAATATATCCAAGCACAAAGGTTTCTAAGCAGCATACAGGACAGCACAAAGGGCACTCTAGTCACACACCTGATCATCTGCTTGAGTTGTCACGTGACATGTCTCTGATTTCAGTCTGAATTTTTTACATGAAATGTGAATTACAAAAATTAATCAATGCTGTTCTTGCCCCTCAGCACTGGCAGCAGAGAAGGATGGCACTCCTGTGTTTAAGTTCCCCAGATGGAGAGCTAAAGGCAAGCCTATCCAGGAAGTAGTTGCAGCCTACAAATCAGTTGGAGCAGAGCTAAATGTCCTTCCATTCTGTACACAGTTTATCCCCATGGATGTTATTGACTGCCCAAAACATGGCTCTATTATTTATCATCCATCCATCCTACCACGTCACCGAGGAGCTTCTGCAATCAACTGGTGAGTTTCGTGCATCAGAACTGTGTGTTTGTCACATTTTGGTTTGCACCCATTACTCATGTAAATGCTGACACAGTTCTGCTGACTTGCAACTGCTCTGAGGGAACTTCTCAGAAGCAGCTGACTATTTGGTTTGTGAACTGCACATCATACTTAAGATTAATCTTTTTTTTCCAATGCAAGTGCAGCTGTTATTCTGGGAAGATCAGTGATGTGATCTGTACATTCATACGTTTTTACTCACATAGACAAATTGACAATCTGGAGTTTCCATAAGCAGGACACTGCCCTTGCAGCTTATCCCCCAGACACCAAGTAACTATCACAAAAGAGGCTGATACAGAGCCTAAGATGTCATGGAATGGAAGGGAGCAGAGAGAAGAGAACCTACAAGAACAAACCCTTATCTCACTGCCCTCATGAGCTGTGCACAGGGCTAGGTTCAACCTGTAATCCTGAAAGAACTGCACTGCAATAGTGATCACAGCAGACTCAGATGTAACATTCTTGTGACAACAGAATTGCCATTATCACAGTGTTTAAATTCAATGAGAAATTGTCTAAATATGAACAAACAATTAAAAAACAATCTTACAGGCAACATGGTGATGATCTGAAGAGTGTTGTAGACTCAAAGCAAAAGAACATTTTGCTTTGATGTGTTAATTTTAATCCTTACCTGAAGAAATACTTAAGTACTTAAACAGAGATGTAAAGGAAACTGTTAGAGCTGTAGGGAGAGCCTTCAAGAAGTGTCAGTGGTGTCCAAGTAAGTAAAATAGAAAAGGGCATAAACTCTCTCAAATCAGGTGAAAAATGAGAGTAAGACAGTCCAGAAAAGAAATAAAGAACCAACTTTTTAAGGCACGAAATTGAATACCAGCAATTCTCCCAAATACATTAAAGGTGGGAGGTATGCAGGGTGATAGAGGTGTTGGATTTATCCAAGGTGCTTAGCAAAGAGAATACCAGAGTAGGAAATCTGTATTGGTAGTCAGGATGGAGGAGCTGAAGATATTACTACCCCACAGACCTTCTTTGTGAGGAATAAGTCAAAACAATTCTCTTGGGCTGAACTGTGAGTAGAACAGATTTTAGGTAAACTGAAGAATGAAGAAGAATCACCTGTCAGGACCAGAGGGTTTCAGGCAAAAGTTCTGCAGATTTGAGACAGCCAGAAGTGTTTCTGTTTCTTAAGATCATGTTGGTGCAGGTGACTGGAAAACAGCAAGAGCAATACCAGTTTTAGAAGGGCTGAAAGTCAGGAAGGTTTAGACAAGTCACTCTGATTTCAACCTCTAATAAAGAATACATTTTCTATGGAAATGGGTAAATGTGATAGTGTGAAAGTGAGATTAAGAAAATTCAGGGTTAAAAAACATAAAGTAATGAACATAAGGGGCAAAATTTCCTGGCTATATGTCAGCAATATTAAAGTTAGTTGTTGTTACTTAGAAAAGAGACCATGGAAGGAACCAGAACTGTACATGCTCCAGAAAAGGCTAAGAAGGATGGCCAAAGATGTAGAACAGTTTTCCCATGATGGGATACAAATTGTAGAGTCTTCAGACTGGAAAGGAAGTAATTGGGAAGGAAACATGCTACCTGTGTGTTAAGCCATAAAAGACATGGAAAGGTGAATAAGGAATGATTGCTCATTGTTAATCAAAAGTTATGAGGCAGCCAGCAAAGAGATCAGGTGGTAGGACTTGACCATAAGGATTTGACCACACAAAAGAGGCACTTTTACTCCATGCACTCTGCCATTAAATTGTGGAACTTCACATCTAGAAGCATGCTTACATGGGGGAAAAGTTCATCAAGATCTGTTCCACAGGAAAATGTAGATACAAACTCTCTTTCAGGAAGTTGCTGAGGTGAAAGTTTCCAGAAGGAGGTATTGCAGTGGTGTATCACAAAGTCTTGCTCTATTTTGCATCTTCCTTTTGTAAGCACCTGCCCTTGCCCTTCTCAGGTAAAGGCTGTTGTCCTGAGGCTTTTAAACTAAACCAGGATTTAGCCTTGGCTGGCTATTCTTCTGTTTCTCTAGCTCTCATCACTACTTCTTTCATGTGTTGTGGCTACAGCCCTGGTGCTAATCCCCACAGTGTGACTGAGAAAACCTTTGGGAATTAGGCATGGCTAAAGGCACACCAGGCACAAACGAGGGTACTGAGGGTTCGTCACTCACTCATTTACAGCCTTTTCTGACTGCTGCCACTCTGTTATCAGCAGCTCCCTGCAGAGGAAGATGGTACAGTGAGGAGGGAGCACACAACAGTTCTCATCCCATCACCTGTTCAGCATCAGGGACATTTACCCATGAAACCTTCTCCCCCAGTGCCAAGCTGAGAACATCCACTTCTGACTAGAGTGGAATTTTTCCATAATATATCCAGAAGAAATGCTGTTTACAATCATGTGAAAGGTTTAATGTGGGCTAGCCAAACTTCTGCAAGCTTTCACTTCTGCTACACCTGCCAACTTCCCCAGGTTTTTTTGGCATTTGTCCCTTGTTCTGCACAAATGTGTGCTTTACTCCCTTTAAGAATGCAGCTTTCAGTGTTTACAATTAATAAGGTATTTTCCTGTGTATCAGTGAGATCTCAGATTATCTCATTGCAACGTGGACTGCCAAGGGAATACCTACATGAGATATGTACTCCTTAAAGCACTGTTAGTATTTTCATGCAAGCAAATGGTTAAAATAATGCAGGAAATACTTTTTCTCTCCATTTCTGACTACTCCCTTAAACACACTTCAGTCTAAGTTTCCATAATTCTGAGCCACATGCAGCTCCAAAGGAGAACTGGAAAAAAATTAAGTGCCTGAAGTTCCCTTCAGATACAGAGGCAGGTCCCAAGCTGAGGTAAATCAGCATAGGTCTATTGTAACCACTGCTATGTTCATGCACAGCAGCTGAGAATCTGCCTGGATACCCTCAATTCCCTTAATAACTTTCCCTTAAACAGTTGTACATCCATAATTTTCCACTCTGAGTTTAGTTCTTTTTCAGCTGTGCAACAACTGTATTTCCCTTCTTGACCTACAGATCACCTCTGAGGCTTAGCTAATTGCAGTAAACAAGCATGAGTTGTTAAAATGATATGGTGTTAGATGCTTCCACCTTTTGAATTGGATGAGAAGCTCACCATGAGCTGCAGTGTGAGCTCAGCCCACAAAGCCAGTGGAATCCTGGGCTGCATCCAAAGGAGTGTGGGCAGCAGGTCAAAAGAGGTGATTCTTTCCCTCTGCTCTGCTCTGGTGAGACCCACCTGGAACACTGCACACAGTTCTGGTGTCCTCGACATAAGAAGGACATGGAACTGCTGGAGCAAGTCCAGAGGAGGCCATGAAGTTGCTAAGAGGACTGGAGCATCTCCCCTATGAGGACAGGCTGAGGGAGTTGGGGCTGTTCAGCCTGGAGAAGAGCAGGTTGCGTGGAGACCTCGTAGCAACTTCTCAATACCTGAGGGGCCTACAAAGGAGCTGGAGAGGGACTCTGTGTTAGGAACTGCAATGATAGGACAAGGGGTAATGGTTTCAAACTGAAGGAGGGGAAGTTTAGGTTAGATATTAGGAAAAAGCTGTTTCCTATAAGGGCGATGAGACACTGGCACAGGTTGCCCAGGGAGGCTGTGGCTGGCCCGGCCCTGGCAGTGTTCAAGGCCAGGCTGGATGAAGCCTTGAGCAACCTGATCTAGTGAGGAGGTGTCCCTGCCCACGGCAGGGGATTGGGAGTAGATGATCTGTAAGATCCATTCCAACCCCTAAATTCTGTGAGTCTATGAATTCTGTCATGACTATTGCACACCTTTTGCTCTCTGTGTTACCGCTAATAACACTGTCTAATTATTGCCACAATGAACTGAGTGATGGACAGTCTGGGTTCAGTTGCAGCATTTCTTATGTCACTTTGTGGAAACCATACATCAGCAGTTTCAAAACTCTGGGTCCCTGAGTATGAAGTCAGCAATGAAAGTATATTACAGATGGTTAGGATTCTCTTTTATATTTTCTCAAAGAAAAGGAATGTTTAACACTAGTTGATATCTCTGACTACTTTAAGACCATCTGTATTTACTCTAAGTCTTTTTTCTGTGTCCAGGACTTTAATTCAAGGAGATAAGAAAGCAGGATTTACTATTTTTTGGGCTGATGATGGTTTGGATACTGGACCAATACTTCTGCAGCGAGAATGTGATGTTGGTCAAAACGATACTGTGGATGACCTGTACAACCGGTTTCTCTTCCCAGAAGGAATAAAGGCTATGGTATGTTTAGCTGGACTAAAGACCAGATTTTGCGGAGGAAAAGAGTTTGAAAGTAAAGGAAATATAGACAAGATGTAAAGACAGAGGTTGTGGTGCTCAGCCAAATCCTAGGCTTCAGTGGAGTTGTGTGTCTGCACAACAGCTGAGTCTGTGACCTCAGGGTATTCATTGCTGACAGCAGGCAGAGCATATTCTGTTTCCACAAATGGCAAGAAGTTAAATTAGTTTGGAATGTGTCTCTTTCCATAGATTTCTTAGATGTCTTTACAAGATGAAATCTTTTAAAGGCTCAGAGAGAACCAAAAGTTAGGAGTAGGTGCAAAAATAAAGGGGAATGGGATGGTGTTTTAACCTCAGAGCCCTGTTGGATTGATTTGGATTTTGTATACTTACCCTTTTTTGTATCATTTCAGAATGAGTAAAAGAAAAGGCATAAAAAATACTCGGCATCATTCATTAGTGATTTTTTCCTGTCCATTTAAACACAGAGAAATAACTTTTTGCAGAAAGAAGAAGGAAAATGTTGAATGCAATCATACATAGACACATTTTTCCCCTGCAGAATTTAGGCAGCTGTTTAAATCTGGTGACTAGGTATTCCCATCAAATTTTGGAAGCTATTTCTTTTGTCAAAGAAATTTAAGCATATATATCTGTTAATCAGGGCAGCATTGGTCCCTTAGGTTTTGGAAATCACCTTGTGGCAGAAAGTCTTTGGCTATCATTTACAAGTATGACTGATGGGAAAAAGGGCAAACCAAGCTAACATTAAATCTGTTACTTCTTCACTTAGGTGGAAGCTGTACATCTAATTGCTGATGGTAAGGCCCCTCGTATACCTCAGCCTAAAGAAGGGGCAACATATGAAGGGATCCAGAAGAAGGAAAATGCAGAGGTAGTGTTAAATATCACTGTGTTTTGTGCATAGCACTAGAAAGGTTGTTAACTCAGATCACAGTAGTAGCAATATGAAGTCAACATGAATTTTGACTCAGTTGGTTCCCTGCATCTTTTTCCTGGGATAACCACAAGGATGCATATAATGGAGATCCAGGTTAAATCCCTTTTCCCTTTCAGCAGTTATATGTATTTAGAAGCTTGGTGTCCTCTTTGGGATCATGTACAGGCAGCTGCACCTTCAGATGATTTGCAATCTGTTACCATACTTGTAAGTATCACAGTGAACCGAGACAATTCCCCTTGTGTACCCACAGGCCATGGGAAATTCCTGGTCAGAAATAGAGCTGACATCAGGAAATGCAAGTGTTGGCACCTCTCCAGGAAAAAACCCAACACAGACCATGCAAGCGAACAACAGATTAAACAATTCATTTAAACACCTGTATAAGAATTATTTTATCTAAGCACCCTCACTGCATGAACTGATCCTGTTTGTGGTTGGGAAGACCACCAGAAAATGATAGTGAATGTTGCCTATAGAAGTGAGAGAGTGATCAGACATTGGAATGTGCTGCCCAGGGAGGTAATGGATTCACCATCCCTGGAGGTTTTCAAGCTGAGACTGGATGTGGCACTTAGTGCCATGGTCTAGTGACCACGGTAGGGTTGGATTTGATGATCTTGGAGGTCTTTTCCAACTTGGTTGATTCTATGATTCTGTGATTCTATTCTCCCTAGTGTAAAACTACTCACATTGGCTTATAACTTGCTTCTAAATATTCCTTGTGGTCAGTCTAAGGGGGATGATGTTTACTTGAGTTTTGTTATTTAATAGCTATTCTGATACTTTCCTTAATTTATTTTGGACATATAGTCACAATTCTGCAAAGTGAAGGCATTGCATTTTCACTGGTGTTCCATAGGAAATACATATGGCATTCTGAAAGCATCACTTCCTTTTTCCTCAAAGCTTTGCAGGAGTTACAAGTTGTTGTAGAGATTCCATTTAGGGAACAATTTCTAAAGGAGTAGTACATGATTAGAAAGTATTTTAATAAACGTTTGTAGATTTATTAGAGGATTTAGAACTTATTAGAGAATGCAACCTTCTCTTCTCCAGGCTGAACAGCCCCAACTCGCTCAGCCTGACCTCACAGGGGAGATGCTCCAGTCCTCTTAGCAACTTCGTGGCCTCCTCTGGACTTGCTCCAACAGTTCCAAGAAGGACATGGAAGGGTGAGAAAGTTGGGACTGTTCAGCCTCGAGAAGAGAAGGTTGTATGGAGACCTCAGAGCACCTGCCAGGATCTGAAAGGGCTCCAGGGAAGCTGGAGAGTGACTCTGTGTTAGGAGCTGCCAAGACAGGACAAGGGGAAATTTAGGTTAGATATAAGGAAGAAAACATTAGTAACTTATACCTAAACAGAGAGGAATTAGCTGGCATGTCTTGATTTCCTAGATCTCCTGGGACCAACCTGCTGCAACTTTGCACAATTGGATTCGAGGGCATGATAAAGTGCCTGGAGCATGGACAACAATAGATGACCAGGTATGCTCTGAAAACCAGAAGAATATTCTTCTTTTCTCTATTCTCTTTTTGGCCCTTTCTTTATTACAAAATTAAAGGTTTCCGCATACGGGCAGATATAAATGAGAGTTAGATTGGAGCAGTTCTAGGCCCCTCAGTTCAGGAGGGATATTGAGGTGCTAGAGCAGGTGCAGAGAAGAGCAACGAGGC